CTGCGCTGCCCGCCGTGCGCCTCAGCCTCGTGCGCCTCGGGGAGCCCGAAGGCTCCGGGGCCGGGGAGCCGCCCGCCACGCCCGCGGGGCTGGGAGCAGGAGGAGACCGCGTCTGCTTCAACTTGGGCCGCGAGCTTTATTTCTACCCGGGCTGTTGCCGCCGCGGGAGCCAACGGGTGAGCGGCGCGCGTCGTGGGCCCTGGGCGCCGAGAAGACTGGGTCCCTGGGAAGTGATAGGTGGGCCCCCAGGTTGACAGGGGGCCGGGAGAAAGGCATCCTGGATGTGGTGGACATCCCCGAGGAACAAGATTCTTAGCGATAATGCTCGATTCTGAAAGGTGATAAGGGAGTGCCTTACGCGTGGGGATTTGGGGGTGATGAGTATTCCTTATGTCTGGAGCGTGCCATAGGCCATCTGAGATGATGCGGGGTCCCCTGGATTCTGGGATAGCAGGCATTTGCAGGCGATGGACAATCGTGAGATGATCCGGGCTCGGAGGATGTGGAGAACCCAGAAGTGTTGGAATCTGCAGGTGTTAGAGGGGGTGGTCTTGAGACTTACGGAACCCAGGAATGAAGGCGACTCGGGACGTGATGGGGTTCTTAGAGGTAATAGGTGCATGAGATCCTAGGGAAAATAGGGGTCTGGAGGTTATAAAGGTTTGGGAGGACCTAAGCTGATGGGAGACTGAAGTGATAAGGGAAATCCCCGGGCTTGGAAATCCCTAAAGTGATCTGGGTCCCGGAGGACAAGCCCCCCGCTGTGACGAGGATCCTCAGAGGCCAGAAGTGAAGAATGTACCTAGCTTATGGGGGATCACGAGGGTTGGTGGGCCCCTAAACTGTGACAGAGGTCCTGAGGTTTAAAAACTCCAAACTGAAGGGGATTCTGGGATATTGGGCTTCAGAGTTCTTGAAAATTGGGTATTCCTGGGGATTTGCAGTCTTGGAATGTTGTGCGAAGTCCCAGGCAGTTGCTGAGGTTATGGGGTCTGGGGTAGGATGGGCAAAATATTGGAACTCGAGGACTCTGGGAACCCTGGAGCCTGCTGGTGTGGCCCTAACTTCATGGTGGGCGGGTCCAACTGTGGAAGGGCACTGTGGTCTGAGAGGATGTCCTGCCAGTCCGTTTTTCACCCCACTGTGTCTGTGATTTGTGTTCCCTTCCTGTCTGTGGTTGTGCCCTCCCTCCCAACCCACCTCCCCGCCTCCCTCAGGCATTTAACCCTGCTTCCTCTTAGTGGTTTTTCTTCAACCTCAGCACCGTCTTCCTTCCGCTCGGTGGTGTAAACTGTTAACTCCTTTCCCTCCCACCGCTCAAGTCCATTGACCTCAACAAGCCCATTGACAAGCGGATCTACAAGGGCACCCAGCCCACCTGCCATGACTTCAACCAGTTCACTGCTGCCACGGAGACCATCTCCCTGCTGGTGGGATTCTCGGCCGGCCAGGTGCAGTACCTGGACCTCATCAAGAAGGA